TCGCGGCAGATCAAGCGCGACAGTGTCGCGGCAGGTGAACCGCGACAGTGTCGCGGCAGGAAAAGCGCGACGATGTCGCGGCAGCCCAAGCGCGACAGTGTCGCGGCAGATCAAGCGCGACAGTGTCGCGGCAGCCCAAGCGCGACAGTGTCGCGGCAGGTTAACCGCGACAGTGTCGCGGCAGGGGAAGCGCGACGGTGTCGCGGCAGGGGAAGCGCGACGATGTCGCGGCAGCCCAAGCGCGACAGTGTCGCGGCAGATCAAGCGCGACAGTGTCGCGGCAGCCCAAGCGCGACAGTGTCGCGGCAGGTGAACCGCGACAGTGTCGCGGCAGAGGAAGCGCGACGGTGTCGCGGCAGGTGAAGCGCGACCGAGCGCGACGGTGTCGCGGCAGCCCAAGCGCGACAGTGTCGCGGCAGCCCAAGCGCGACAGTGTCGCGGCAGCCCAAGCGCGACAGTGTCGCGGCAGCCCAAGCGCGACGGTCGCGGCAGCCCAAGCGCGACATGTCGCGGCAGATCAAGCGCGACAGTGTCGCGGCAGGTGAACCGCGACAGTGTCGCGGCAGGAAAAGCGCGACGATGTCGCGGCAGCCCAAGCGCGACAGTGTCGCGGCAGATCAAGCGCGACAGTGTCGCGGCAGCCCAAGCGCGACAGTGTCGCGGCAGGTGAACCGCGACAGTGTCGCGGCAGGGGAAGCGCGACGGTGTCGCGGCAGGTGAAGCGCGACGATGTCGCGGCAGCCCAAGCGCGACAGTGTCGCGGCAGATCAAGCGCGACAGTGTCGCGGCAGCCCAAGCGCGACAGTGTCGCGGCAGTGAACCGCGACAGTGTCGCGGCAGGGGAAGCGCGACGGTGTCGCGGCAGGTGAAGCGCGACGATGTCGCGGCAGCCCAAGCGCGACAGTGTCGCGGCAGATCAAGCGCGACAGTGTCGCGGCAGATCAAGCGCGACAGTGTCGCGGCCTGTGAACCGCGACAGTGTCGCGGCAGGGGAAGCGCGACGGTGTCGCGGCAGCCCAAGCGCGACAGTGTCGCGGCAGCCCAAGCGCGACAGTGTCGCGGCAGGAGATCCGCGACAGTGTCGCGGAAGGGGAAGCGCGACAGTGTCGCGGCAGTTCAAGCGCGACAGTGTCGCGGCAGCCCAAGCGCGACAGTGTCGCGGCAGGGGAAGCGCGACGGTGTCGCGGCAGGTGAAGCGCGACGATGTCGCGGCAGCCCAAGCGCGACAGTGTCGCGGCAAGCCAAGCGCGACAGTGTCGCGGCAGGTGAACCGCGACAGTGTCGCGGTAGGGGAAGCGCGACAGTGTCGCGACAGCCCAAGCGCGACAGTGTCGCGGCAGGGGAAGCGCGACAGTGTCGCGGCAGCCCAAGCGCGACAGTTTCGCGGCAAGCCAAGCGCGACAGTGCAGTCGCCCTGCACTGCAGCACCCAGCTCGCTCGGCCTGAGGACCACGCCAAGGACCTCCACAGCGGGAACCTGGAAGTTCTGGTGGCCGGCCCAAATGCCGGGGGCCCCATCGGCTGCCAGGGGCATCAAGACGCTCCTGGGACAGCTCCTTTCCGACCCGCCCGCCTCGGAGGTAGGCAACCCAGCCTTGCCGCTTCCCCTTCGTCCATCCCGACGACTAATCTGTCACTGACGTCGTGGAATATTTATACTCTCCCCTCCCTCTTTCCTGAATGAGATCGGACAACGTCAGTCGGACAAACGTCGGGCGGACAAACGTCGGGCGGACAAACGTCGGCGGACAAACGTCGGGCGGACAAACGTCGGGCGGACAAAATTTAAGTGAAGGGGAGGGCGGACAAATTTCGGCAGGACGGACAAACGTCGGACGGACAAACGATGTACACCGGGAGTTTTGGCCGCCGGCGTCGGTCTTCTGGCCGGGCGTACTCGAACCCGGGTCGCCGCGCCGTGCCGCCGTCACCGAGTCGACCTGGTCAGCCCTTTTGGCGCACGGGGGGCGTTTTCCAATCGAAACACGGGCTCAGCAACTACGTAGGGTAAGGCCGCCTGAGCGCGCCAGACAATGACCGTGGCCGTCGAGTCGGAGGGGCGCTTCTGTCTCTCTCGCACCAGAGGCTGAGGGCACCGAGTTGTCTCTGTCTGGCAGGGTCTGGCACGAGGGGGCACCGTCGCCAATGCGAACGGCAAGGCGACACGCCCGGCGAGCGCGCCCCGGGTTCAAACGACGGCGAGGTCAAAGCGGTGCAAAGCAGCACACTGATTCCGAGAGTGTTTCATGGAGCTCCCGCACCGCTCCATGAGAGCGAGAGAGACAGAGCGACGAAACGACTCCTGGAATCACTCTGCAGGCCGCGCGCGCGGGGCTCCGATTCAAGCGCAAAACGTTCAAGACGACGACATGCGAGGCGAGAAAGCCGAGCCCCGGCCGGACATTGTATTCCGTGAAGCCGTCAAGTACCCGCATTGTTCTCCGCTCGGCTCCGCACAGTGGGCCGAAAGACCGGTGGAGGCGGACAAAACTCTAGACGCGTTCTGAGCTCCAGAGTCGCTAAACAGGCCTCGAACTGAACGTGTGACCCCACCAATGGATTCCTCGTTCGGAGAGCAATCCATTGGTGGGGTCACACGTTCGGTTCAAGTCCCGTTTAGCGACTCTGGAACTCAAAACGCGTCTAGAGTTTTGTCCGCCTCCACCGGTCTTCTGGCCCACTGTGCTCCGCTCGCTCCGGCCGAGGACGCGCGTCTTGGCAGAGACTGTACCTGAGGGTCGGCCTGCCTGCCTGCATGGCTCACGGGTCCTGCAGTTCCATGAACAAGACCGTCCCGGCCGAGACCAGAGCCCGGCGTAGCCCGGCCGTCTGGACCGGAGGGGAGGGGGAGGGGGCTGTAACGTAGTGCCCATTGAGAGTCCCACGCCAGCAGCGCCAGCACGTGTAATACTTCTTCCGCGAAAAACCAACCGGCCAGGTGAATGGCGGGCGCATACCACGCACACACGCACACACACACACGCACACACACACACACATACACACACGGACATACGTGTGCGCTCACGTGCACGACATGTCGCGCGCGGACGTCAAACGTGAGGCCACCACTCCACCACCAAGCGTGATGAAATATTCTAGTACAGTCTCCGATAAAATATGCCAGCTCGGGCTGGCGGCTGGCGGCCAGCGCGGCGCGCCGCCACCAGTGTAGCGCCACGAGCCGCGCGCCCGAGCTGGCAGCCAGAGGCGCCACCACCGCCATCGACGCCAGGCCGGCAGGCAGCAGGCTGATTCCGAGAGCCGTTTTCGTCGCGCTGTCTCTCTCGCACTCTTAAGGCGTGCCGCACAGGTGCGAGAGAGACAGAGCGACGTGAACGCCTCTCGGAATCAGCCTGCAGGCACCGGACGCCGCGGGCGCCTCGACACCGTCAGCAGGTGTCCGCCGCTCTAGTTTTCCAGTGAAACGACTGAACCTCCGACGACGGCGGCGAGCGCAGTGAACACGTGCGGGCCGGGCAGACATGGCAGACAGCGCCCGTTTCTTTACAGAGTACCCACGGAGGGAGAGAGGGATAGTGGTGGGGCCAGTCCCCCCCCCCCTCCCCCTTGCTCTTCTCGGCCTCGCTGGGTGCCTCTCTGAAAACAAGTGCATGCACACAACACAAACCGGCGCGGTGCGGCTGGCGGCAGGCTGGCGTAGGCCGGCGCGGCACCGGAGCCACCAAGAGGCAAGGTAAGAGGAAAGCCGAGGCGCACCTACCTTGAAATCAGAGCCGCCGTCCTAGGCGAGCCTCCGACAGCTCCGGGCAAATCCACTGAATTCCACCTGCACGCGTGACACGCAGTGACACGCCACACACGCCTGGGGCGGCGCGCTGGATCGCCGGATTCGGCTCGACCTCCGTCACGTTCGGGTCACGTTCGGGTCACGCTCGCGTCACGTTGGTCCGCGGCCCAAAAGGCGCGACCGTCTTTAAAAATAAACGCACTGCTGCCAACTGCTGCAGGCGCGTGACGGGCGGACCGGCCTGGGGACCACAGGGACCAGAATACCGTACCGCCCGGTCCGTCGGTCCGTCACAGCCGCGCGCCACCACACCGCAAGGGGGATCCACTGTAAGCACTCGTCAGTCAATCGCGCGCACTTCCGGTCGCGCCGATGGCTGCGATCGCAATGATGGCACTCGCTGCTCGCAGGGCTTGCCGTCGCAGGGGCGGTGGGCGGTAGGATGCCGGTACCCAGTGCGCCAGGCGCCCTGTCACATCGCCGGATGCAGTGCGGCGTGTGGCAGTGTGGCGGTCTCACTGTGACTTTGCCGGCTCGGCGTACGCCAGTGCCACTCTAGCTGGGCCACTCGCGGGACACGCTACACGCGGTGCTCTCCGTCGTCAGCACGGCACTGACTGCGAGCGAGCGGAGCGCGCTGGTGGCGCGGCGGCGCGGCGGCGGCCAGGCGTGGCGGCGCGCGGCGGCACGGCTGTGGCGGTGGGGCGGTGGGGGCGGCGGCGGGGAAGTCGGCGGACGGGCCAGCGGGGTGCGGGCGGGCCGGGGGCGGGCCGGCGGGGGGTGGTGGGAGGCTGTTCTGTTGGCAGGCAGCAGGCAGGCCGAGCCCTCGTGCCTTGACAGCCCTAGGCAGCCCTCGGTGAAGCCTCGGTGCTTCGAGCTCTTCGAGACTCCGGCCTCAAGTAAGTGCTGTTCATGAAGAGAGTAAGATCTCGCCGTCCGCGCGAGGTCCCATTCAAAGCTGTGAGCGTGTGAGTGCGTGCCCTTGCAGTGTGCCATTCCCCGGCATGGTCATTGACCCTCCGGTGGGACTGTCGAAGTGGCTCCCCCTTCCCTCGCACACACTCTTCATATCTTATCAGTAGACTCCAACAAAATTTTTCATTGAATCACTTGATGTTCCATTAACGCGTAATTATTTTGACATTTTTACAAGCAAAGTCAACCTTTGAATTATGTGCCAAATTTTACTAGCAGCAGATGTGAGAATGGATTGAGACGGGTTCAAGTGATTGAGAGAGAAGTTATTGTCTGATTTTCAAACATTTATTCATGTATTGTGGTAATAGTAATACGGTCATAAGAGGATTCTGTAACCTTCACACCAAACAGAAAATTTACCATCTAAATAACATCAATAGCATAACATGAAGAAACCCTATAACACAAATGAAAACCTCTAAAAGAGCCTACACATGCAGTTTTGTAAATAAAATACATTTATTTAAAATTAGATGGCAACTTGATATCTGATTAAAAGCAGTTTCTTTCAAATGACAAATGTGCCAAAGCCCACATTTATTGTTTTAACACCTATAGTACAAGCGCAAAACCCATACAAGGCAGAATAAAATGAAAACCATAATGCCACCAGAGGGTTTTCTTCACAGAAAATATTACAATTATTTAAACTAAGACTGTTCTTGGATCAAACCCTGTACAAGCGAGCTGAACTATGAGCTTGGAATGTAGACTTGTAGACAAGCTGGTAATTAAAAACACAGTATTTCTTATCACCTTTAAATAACTTCCCACCACTCACCACAAAATTCAACAGCACAGCACAGGCCATTGTATGAACAAATTGAAAAAACTTCAAAAAAAAGAAAAAGTAATGAAAAAGCCATAAATTTGCCTTTATGGTTCATGTAAAGAGCAAAAATTTACTGAAACTTGGTGGACAGAAATACAATTAGCCCACCCAGTATCTGTGCCATCTCACAAAAGATCAATCAAATATGTATAATAATGTGAACAAATACCTATAAAATTGCAAGCCACGACCATTCAAACTGCTTTCAATCTGAGAGGGAAACATGAAAACAAGAGAGGAAGAGGAATAAGGATGAAAAGAAATTTACATCCAATAAGATGTATAGAAAACTATTCATGTTTTTATGAAGATGCATGGTCTGTGGTGCATAAACATCTGACCCTCCTCGCAATAGCTTACTTTAAAACGTTCTTCCCACATTGTGTATTAGCATTATGTAAAAACAAAATCTAATATGTAGGTAAAACACACTTTTGGTTTGTTTATTGTTTTGTTTTTTTTTCTTATTACATTTCCCATATAGTCTCAAACACGGTTTTTACAGCTCTTTACTTGCTCCCCTTTAACCAATAGGAAACCACACAACAGAAAATTTGGACAAACAAAGGACTAAGATCAGAAACATTAGTTTCAAATTTCTGAATAAATAGTAACTTAAAGCTGAGAACAAACTTTTTTATTTTTAAGGATTTTTTAAAAAAGAACTTACTTTGCACTACCTTTAAGACGGAATGTACCACACACAAAATAGATCCAAATTTTGTTCTGCAGGGCTTCTACCTCTATAAAAGAGAGAGTTTAAGTCAGAATTTGCTTTTAACAGAGAATATGTATTTTCAAGCAAGTACGACAGTTAGGTTTGAAGTCAATCAATGATTAAACCAACCAATAACTTTGACAAATTTAGACTGATTGCAGGTTTAAGAAAGACACAGCATGTTTGATGCAGGTTGCAACTAGCATGTTTACAGCCTTTCCCAATTCACTAACCATATCTTGAAGTTGAACAAAATTGTCATACTTGGAATGTGTGTGCCTGATGCTTTATATTACTTGAAGTTGCAATAAAAAGCAAATTCTTACATAAGAAAAACCTTACATAAGAACTATGTGGGAGTTCGATAAAAACATTGTACAAATGTACACTAACATTACCTACTACACATATTATCTGCAATAGGATAAATCAAAATGCAGGTAAGTGATGAAAAAGGTGATGCCAAAGTACAAATATTTTGTACCAAATTTGGACAAATGAGAAAAAAAGTCAGGGCGAAACTTAAACCAAAGGTACAAGGAAATTAGTGCTAGGAAACAATTAGGGTCACATTTGGGGAACTAACTAACTACAAATGTTTGAACTATGAGTCAAATTAAATTTTGGTTAACTTGTAGAGGGTATTAAACCAATCAAAAATAAGCCACAGGTTCACAGACACACTCATAAAAATTATGAATAATGAGGAGCCGCTATGAAAAGCCTCAAATATGCTGAAGAGAGGTCTGTGTGAAAAAAAAAACCAGTAAAATAAAGTACCACAAAACCTGACAAGTGTCTAGAAAATCCCATGATCCTAGGATCTCCTGAACACTAAATATGGTTTATACAAATATGTCACTATCTTTAAACCTGTACACATGTCCTTTACCAACTAGCAAAGAAACTTAAACATGACAATCATGAATGCAACTAACAAATGATGAAACAAATTTAGACTACAACATCTTAAAATTTGTAATAGACGTATTTGAACATTTACATGTATATATTTATATAAAAATTAACTCAGTTTATTTGCTCAAAATGCATCAGGACAAAACCACAACATCCAAACAGGCTCACAGAAAACTGGCCACAAACTTGCCTCCAGATCCACCCAATAAAAATGCCATAATGAAACAAAAAATCTTCAATCGCAAATGTTACTTGGCAGATAACAAGTGGCTAGGTCATGACATAACATAAGCTGCATGGGTTTAGTTGTTAGCTCTGTGACAGTTGACCGTTTCCTAAAAGTCTTTCAACTGCTGCGTTGACATCACCAAACGTAGCAATAAGCGCTGAAACAGAATTGATATTAAGTATAAGACAGCAGAATGGCAACAGGAATAGAATCAACCAGCTTTTAAATTTTGTGTGTGTTACCTTGCAAGTTAGCATCCCGGTTAACAAATCCCATGCTTGTAAGTTGCTCAAGTTGCGAACGATACCTTTCTTCAGGTGGCAAACTAGGGCTTACTGATGATGGATTTTGGCTTGACATATCGGCAAACTGTTACAAGAGAAAAATGTATGTTACTTTTCACTGTAATTACTACAATACCCTTCCATAAAATTAAAAAAATACAAAAAACAAAAACAAAAAAAAGAGTACAGGATTTTAACACTCTACTTACCATTCTTGCCAAAAATTGGGACAGTACATCTTCCTGCCTATTTCCTGCTGATCCAGTATTGGGGGTTGAGGTGGTATTGGTGGTAGCTGAAGCAGGTGTTGATGTTGTGTCAGTGCTTGTAGGAGCTGTGGTGCCAGTGGTAGTCCCGCCTGTGGTAGCGTTGGCTGCGGTCCCAGTAGTGGCACTAGTAGTTGTAGAAGCTGGATCAATTACTGAGGAAAGACTAGGCATACCACCCAGTCCCATGCTGTATGGATAGATAGAAGAGTGGGTAAAATTGTACACAGGGAATAGAAATAAATTTAATACCAGCAGTTTGAACACCAACCTGTTAACAAGTGAAGGGGCAACTTCTCGCAATCTGTTCAAACCTTGCTCTATCTGCATAATAGCCTGTAAAGCTTGAGGATTGGAAGCAATATTTTGAACCTCTGGGTTCTGCATTTGTTGCAAAAAATTGGGTAGCATGCGGCGCACTTGGTCCTGAAATTCAAGCAGAGAGTTTCAATTAGTTTCTAAGAACAGTCTTACATTCTCAGGCTTCCAATAATTTTCTTCAGTCAGAAAAACAAAAGAAAAGATAGAAAAGTGTGCATACTTGTAATTGTGGATTGCGAGACAGAACTGGGTTCATGTTCAAAAGTCGCATAGCCATATCTGGATCCTGTTCCATACTTTCAATCATGCTTTGAACATAAGGGGCTGATGTAAAATTCTGCATGGCAGAGGGATTCTCCATCATTTGCTGCATCATTGTCTGAAGGAGGTTTCCACCTGTGGGGAGAAAAAAAAGGGATTGATTAAATGAGGCCACACAACCAGTATAACAGAACCGCGGTTAAAGAATAGCCGAAGGTTCCAGTACCTGCTGCCCCTGTTCCGAGTCCTCCTAGTCCTCCTAGTCCTCCTAGTCCTCCTAGTCCACCCAGTCCACCTCCTGTGCCTGCAGCTGGAGCAGGTCCTGTGCCTGTGGCGCTTGGACCAGTCCTTGGTGGTCGTGGCCCACCAGTGGTGTTGGCTGCATCTCTGGGACTCCACGGATTGGGTAACGGATCCCTATTTTCTTGGCCTTGCTGAGGATTTGTTCCATCTAAAGCACACAAACACAAAGAAGCAAACCTTAGCAATGATTTAAACCTTGAATGAGGGGTCAGGGAGTTAGGTGAAGAATAGAACTCTCCTCACCTGGGTTATTTTCGACAAGTCCTGCAAATGGATTGCGAGGGTCTGTAGCAGCCGACAACATGGGCTCCTGAATGTCACGGTACATTCTTTGAAGGGCATTGTAGCCACCTGGGATGGATTCAAGGTTGGACATGGCTCGATCATGCGATCTCATTAATTCTTGAAGCATTGATGGATTACGGGCAAGCTCTAACGTTTGCCGTAAGAGCTGGGGATTATTCATAATGTGAGAGATTTCTGGATTTCTCTGCCATGAAGAATAAAATAAATAATTAATTAATTACATAGGAAAAGTTTTGATTTCAATTTATAAACATGTATATAAAATTCAATTACCTCCATTAACTCTCTCATTTGCGGATTAGCCTCAAATAAACTTCTCACTATGTTAGGGTCAGACATTAGTTGAGTCACAGCCGGATTGTCCATTAGATTCCTCATTAGTTCAGGGTTGCCAGTAAGCTCCCGCTGCATCCTCTGTTGCATTTCCATGAAATTAGCAGAGCCCATTCCAAGTCCCTCTAGGCCTGGAATGCCTCCCAGCTGACTAGCGAGTCCAAATCCACTTGAATCAGAGACAACAACTGCAAAATGAAAAATAATGTTACATTCTAAAATAGTGGACTACTTCAAAATACGACAATAGAAATTGGCAAAATAAAGAGAAATATTTAAAAAATCAAACCTGGAGGTAGTTCTCGTGTGTAAGATGGAGAGGTGTTGCTGCTACCTTCAGACGCTCTTGGTGGACTACTTTTGATGACAAGATGCACTGTAAGACCATTTTTGATGTTATGGGACTTCAGTGAGTCAGGATCCTTCATAATTTTGCCAGCAAAAATAAGGCATAGTTGTTCTGGTTGAGCACTGAATTTCTGTGCCACTAATTCCTTTAGCTGAAACAAAACGAAATAAAAAATTCATTTATGGGGAAACATTTTAAATTTTCCATTTATGAAGAAAAACATAGCTTAGAAACCTAATGATGAACTATAACCTATACACAGATAGGTGCAGTCTGCTCTGCTGCATACAACAGAGAAAATTAAGAAAATTTACTACTGAATTAATTGAGCGGTCTCGAAACAAATGAAAACAAAACTTATAATTCATTCAACGGACCTTCCGAAAATATCTGACGTAATCGCGTCAATGCAAACTTAATAGATTGTCAATAGTGACATTACATCATGAACATCTTAGAAGACATGGGAGGAGCTCGCATCATACTGACATAATTCATTTTCAAGTGGAGCAAGTGTCAACATACTCTTCGTGAGCAAATCAAGTATCAACATTCAAGTAGGAAGCAATTTAATATCTAGGGAAAGACGACTAACCATTACTCAGCATGACTAGACGATCAATAGAGCCGGTGTATAGGTTAATTTTAGCACCAGATGAAAACCCACGCCCACTCCGAAACCATTTTAATCTCAAAGAGTGATTGAAAGGTATGTAAAGATTTGTTATAGGCAGAAATAAACATGGAATCATTGAATAAAGACCCTTTAAATTGGGGGCGAAACAAGGCGGATGGGGGTCCTGTCACACCTTTCGGTCTCGATAACATCGACCAAAAATGGGTTCAAGCTGGATGAAAACATCCCTACTTACTTCTTTCACAGTCGCAGTTCCCTCTATTTCTACTGTTTTCTTTTCTTTCGGCGTTTTGACGGTAAGAGTCCATTTGTTCGAAGGTGAGTCGTCTTGACCTTCCGCCATCTTGGAGAGCGATATTTATTGGGTGCTTTCTAGAATGTGTTGGCCCTGTTCCACGTTGAATCTGGGTCCGTTCCTTTGCCTCGTAAAGCCACAGGTTTCTAGAAGGATTTCAGTCGCAGCGCCCCAGCCCAGGTAGCACCAACGCAACACAACGGCACGGTAAATCTTTTCCCAGTCAGAAGAAAGGCACATAATAACAGGCTGCTTCGTCATGCAGACAGCCACGCTTCGCAAATGTTGACACTGTCACTTTGACATTATGACCACATAAATCGACTAGGATTCTCATTCGCGTTCACGTCCCGGATAATTCTGCGAGATTATAGGGTTTCCCTGCCGTGAGGCTACTTAGCCTCTGTCTCCGGCTCGCTTCGGTCTCAGTATGAGAAACTGCGCATGCGCAGCGACGGCGACCGCCTGAGGGGTAGGCAACTTATTCGACGGCCGAGCACCGGGCGTGCCTCCCCTCCCGGCGGTTGTGGCGCCTGCCGCGCGAACCTCACCACTACACTGTCCGCAGTGAAACTGTTGAAACGAAGGGCCCTCCGACTGCAGCGGATATGCCCCCTTTCGCCTGCAATACTTTGCAATACTGTCAGTGGCGGTTCACAAAGGGGAGAGACTTGCACAACTCCCATGGGCGCGTGTCGCGGGCTTTCGAGCGGGCTTGCCACCAAAAGGCGTAATGCTGATGTGACAGGGAGGGACCGGTCAACCCCGATGCCGCCACAGCTTGCCGTATTCGTGTCTGAAGCTGATGTGGTGTTTTGCCTAACTTTCAGGTGGACGTGTAAGCTTCCGTGTCTTTACGGTGGACGCGACACATTAAGGTGTGCCAAACTGGTCAGTCAAAGGCCTCTCGCACCTTCTTGCATGGCGAGCGGCTGGACGCTGCGCCGGCTTCGGCTTCGGCCCTTGCTGTTGTTGCTGCTGCTGTTGTTGCGAGGCGCAGCGCCACGAGAGAGGACCAGCTGGTTGAGATTAATTGGGGTCAAGTGAGAAGAATGCCTTGTGACGAGGCGCTATGTGAGCTGACTGCCTCGCTCATTTTATGACCGCTAGCGCCAGCAGCGCCGGCCGCGTCAGCTGGAGATCGCGTTCCAGAGGCCGTTGTGTACTCTCTCCAGTGTAGGTTTAGGGTTTGCGTAGCGAAATCACAGGCGATTAAGTTGTCTAGATTTTTTTAATAGTCATCTCTTTTTATATGCATTTCCTCCATCTGTCATATCGTACAAATACTAAACACTAGAGATATTTCACATTCCACTCCCGTTATACAAAATGAGGGCAATGAGTCCACTAGAATTTCAAACAAGAAATCTATTTGTGAATACCGGATAGACAATGGCGGTGGTTTCTCGAAGACTTACTCCTCCCAGCTTTGGACAAAACTTACATGTTTATGACTATGCACAATAAAATATCTGCTCTCAAGTGCCTACCAATATAAATAACTATGTATTCATTTATACAAAGTAGGACAACCTGCAAGTCGCACCAATCAAACGATGATTAAAACGAGATAACTAGTGAGAGTTTCCACTGACTGAGTTTAACAACATGGAGTTCCGGCAATGTCCTTCATTTGTTATGTTCGTTGAATCTACTTCAAAATGCGATCACACTTTCCATAGGCTTTACATATCTTTTCCTTCGTAGGGAAGAACAAGAATCGGAATTCTACTCGGGACGAGACAAAAATCGGAAAATCCTAGCGCTCGTATTTGAGCGGAACAATTATTATCAAACAGGCACAGACGGTCCACCTGCATCTGAAATATGACTCAACAGACTTCAACTACCCTTTACCAAAAAGGTTACCTAAAACGTATAAATTTGTACAGGGCCAATAAAGAGTAGCCGAGGTATGCATGGCACAAACAGCATAATAACAAAGGTATTGTCTAAAAACCTCACAGGGCGCGAGTGACTTTTGACCAAGTCTTTTCAAGAGAGCAAAGTTATGGATATATCATGTGATAACTAGGTGGAGATGCACATACAAAAATATACATCAATTTTGCCTTCCTAGGGAGTAAAAGCCTGGGACCGCGGGAGAAGATAGGTTTTTGCACCAGCGATGGTCATCATAGGCTTTCAAGTAGCGGCCCCAGGTCAGCAATAATCGAACTCTACTTTGGTAAAAACAACTTAAGGTTAAATAAATTCATCACAAAACATCGCGTGACCGGACCAACATAGCCTTGTCATCCGCACCGGGGACAGTAAACTATTTTCGCCCTACAGTCGCCGACGAGGTGAGAAGACTACATTGGCCCGATCGACACAACACTTGACCACAACACGCCGTTTCTCAATGCGCGCACCGCGAGAAGACAGCAAAAGGAAAACGTCAGTGCTGCTTTCGGACATGACAGCGAGGGCACAGAAGACCCACTGACCCTTCACCTCCGACCATGACGCATCCTCGCACGGCAGTTCGCGAAACAATTTGCAATGGGAGAGCGTCGAATATAAAATTTACAAAAACAGGGACTTCAATAACATTAGGAACAAATTGGTTTTGGATAAGTATATTTTCAACAATGAATATTTATAACTGTACATATTAGAAGTATACAATTTCTTTACAACAAATTCAAACTGAACAAAAAGGGAATGGTAACTAAATTAGAAACAATCACTATTCTGGAGACCAGTATTGGGAAAACATTTGCTTAACTTATCTTTTGTACATACGTAAAATGAATGATTTCACTATATTAAATTTTCACAGTTGAACTTGAAATGATGGAGTAAACACCTTTGATTAACGAGGATTTTTTTTCTGAGTACGGAGGATTAATGGGATCGGACCGTAGGCCAAGTGGCAATTTCAAAACTAAATCAGATGTTGTTGGTTCGTTTTTTCTGTAGCTCTTTGGTTTCGTACTCCCTCAATCACATCGATTCAGGAATTCCCCTTGGAGCCTGCAGGGCTATATCCGGGCCGAGAAAGTGTCTTCCACTCCAACTTCAGCACACACGGCAAGACAATACTCTGTCAACCCGAATATGCCGACCTTGCGCCCCGAAGCGAAAGACTTGCACTGCATAAAACGAAAATGGCGAGAAGTTGTGGCTGCGAGAGTGAGAGAGTGAGCCTGAGGGAAGCCCTTGTGGTCCGATTCGGGAAATTTGGAAGCGTCGGCTGAGACTGTGGCGACCGCACCGGTAGCCTCTACCCTCCACGGAGGGGGAGGCCAGCCGCCCGGAGGCCCGGGTCCCTGGAGCCCCTCGCGAGGGGTATCTCCACCGACGGAAGGGGAGGGTGGCGACGAGACACGTGGAGTCCCTCGGCCGCGGGGTAGCTCCGCGCAGCGCATGGCACGGAGGCAGCCCCTCGGTCGGGGAGTACATCTACTGCACGGCGAGCTGTCGCCAAACGTTGTGTCACATGGAGCCCATGTAGGGCCAGTTGAAGGACGACCCGGACAGCAGCATGTCGCGGATGAGGGTCTCGATGGGTGTCTTGCCCACCAGGCGCACGAAGAACAGCTGCTCTATCACCTGCAACAAAAAACAGTGTGCTGTCAACTCCCACAGGCCTTTCAGTGGAGGCACGAATGTTTTTGCACAAATTTCATAGACGACACGTCGCAGATTTTTTACTGCAGATTAACTTCTCGTGCAAATTTGTACAAAAATCGGGAAGTGCGCGCAGCGTTTCGTGCTGAATTTGTCATTTGCACCAAGGCGTTACCTGCGAGGACACTGTCCGCAGCGACGGCAGGCGCAGCAGAAGCTTGCCGAACCTGGTGGGCTGGTTGGGGTACTGCGTGCGGCAGTACTCCTCGAGCGCGCACTGCGACTTCTCCTGCAGGCTCTCGATGTGCGCCACGTCCGACAGCCCGCACGCGTCTGCAACAAAACAACAACAACATGAGCATTTTTGCGTTCAGGCGGCCTGAGTCGTTTTCGTCGCCCGGTAGGCCGGAAGGGGCACTCCACTGGAAGGAGTTAACAGCGTTTTTAGCCCTTGCTGTCCTGGCGTCGGGAGCGCTTACGCCGCTAACGCACGCCGCTCACGTCCATCGTCTTGACCCGCCCCACCGCCAGGGCCACTACACTGCCAGGGCTGCGTAGCGCCCCGCCGTGCCCCGCCGCCTCGAAGCAAGCCGGGCGCCAGCCCAGCCCTTGCCCTTTGCGCACCCCCTTTCGTTTATAGAGCTCTGGCACATTGCGGGCCACTTTACCGCACTCGCCGGCACGGCGGGGCACGGCACGGCGCGGCACGGCACGGCGCGGCACGGCACGGCCCTCGAGGAAGAAAAAAAGGTTTCGCCACTTCGGCCAGCACGCCCGAGGCACGCCCCAGGCACGCGCGCCACGCGCCGCCCGTCACGCAGGCACGCGCCACCGGTACACTGTCGCGAAAGGGGCGTCTCCTCGACGGCGTCCTGGTGGCGGTTCGTGGCGGTGCGTGGCGGTGCCCCGCCGACAGGAATAGACGCTCGTAAATCGCCGACCGGCGCATGACGCTCCCGAAAAAAAAAAGTGTGACGTTGACGGGAATCGAAGCCGGGTCCTGACGACGACGCCGGCGCGGGAAAAGGAGAGGCGACCTCTGACCTGCAGTAAAGCGACGCGCCTTGACGGACGGCACCGCGGCCGGCAGACTGACTCGTCGCTCTGTCTCTCTCGCACCTGTACGGGACGCCCCATGAGTGCGAGAGAGACAGAGACTCGGGGACGCCGCGACGCGCCGCGATGGAAAGCCGCCGATAGTGTCGGGGCTGTCCGGGCCGTCCGGTCCGGACGCGGCGGCGACGCGGCGAACTTGTCAAAGTGTGATTGATGGCCGAAGCTGCGGAGCCTCTAGTGTAGTGGCGTGCTCAAGAGATTGGCGGCAGCGGCCCTTGCTGCCCTACGCCTTGCTGTCCAAGCAAAACTCGAGAGCCAGCAGGGGGCTCCAGTTACGCCCCGTCACCTGCGGGTTGCCTCCGGGCTGCTGTGCCTCTCGCACCCTCACGGCGTGAGTGCGAGAAGGACAGCTAATTTCGGAAGCAGCCGGGACTGAGGTGAGCGACGCACCTGCGGGAGGCGGCGCGCGCGACTAGACTAGAAGAACGGGGTGTGGTGGTGCTACCCGCCGCGGCCCGGCAGGCCCGGCAGGCCCGGCCCTCCGCCCCCGGGCTACCACACTGTGAGGCGGCGACACTGCGAGGCGTCAAGCGCGTCAAGCTCACTGACTCCACGAGGAAATTGAATTGCACTGCAACGACTGGGTCGAGTGGGGGGAAGAAGGGACGTATAGTTGTGACAATGGGCTGCAAGACACGCCAGACCACACTGCCACCGCAGCCGCCCCGCCCCGCCACACCACCAGGCCGTTTTGCGCCTCGGGCGGAGCGCGGAGCGCGGAGCAGAGCGCCGACCCGCGAGGACCTCCTGCACAGCCAGATGGCGGTCCAGTCCACCACCCCGTCGAGCGGCGCGCAGCACCGCGCAGCACCGCGCAGATGACCCGATGCAAGCCACTAGCCTGGAGCAGCCCCGAGCCCGCCCCGAGCCCCCGGCTGTCATCGCTCAGATTCTATGACACTTGCTAACTACCCTCCCGGCTCGCAGCAGGCAGGACAGTGGCGTGGGGGAGCGGGGAAAGCCCAGTCGCATGCCATCCCCTGCACTCGTACCCGTTTCAGCCCCGCCCACCATCAGCCCCGCCGCCGACCCGTTCCACCCCCTCCCTCGGCCACCGTCACATCCACGTACCCGTTTCCAACCCCAATCATGCCAGTCCAACCCCCACTCTTCCCAGTTTCTACACCGACTCGCATCGGTTTCAAACCCTACTTCTAGTCGTTTTCCACCCCTACTTCACTGCGAGAAAAGATCACGGTAAATCCTGTACTGATTACTCCAGACTTCACCGTACTTTTTTTTAACGGGCAATGCCGTCGTTTTTTTACAGTCAATACCGTGCTTTTTTACAGGAAACGCCGTACTTTTTACGGAGACCCGTACACCCCCCGAGCACCCGTCTTCACGCTCAAAAACTCTATAACTTTGTTCACTTACCCTCCCAGTTCCAGTAGGCAGGAAGTGGCTCTGGAGACCACTCGGGAAAGGTCGCAGCCATTGAAAGGTCAATACCCTTTTCAGTCGCCCGCCCCCATCAGACCCTGCGGGGCCGGAACCCGTTGGGACCACTTCCCTCGGCAACCGTACACAGGGTAACTCGTTTCAACCCGAATCATGAAAACAGTCTAACCACTCTTACGGGGGTTTCTAACCCACTCGAAATGGGTTTCAAAACAATACCTTTAGTCGTTTTCCTCCGCTACTTCTACCCCTTTTCACGCCCACTCTGCCAGGCCAACCCGCACTTCTACCCACTTCCACCCCACCCTTTTCTACCCCTACCCGTTTCCACCCCTACCCGCTTCCACCTCTGCCCACCCCCCAGCCCACACACCACGAAATCAGTGAGGGGTGCTGACTTTTTAACAGGAGGCGCAAGAAGTCCCTCACTCTTTTATGTGCATGTAAAGAGGGTGCGCTGCCGGCGGCGTGGCGCCCGGGGGGCAGACTGATTCCGAGAGTCGTCGCTCTGTCTCTCTCGCACTCATGGGGCGCCCCGTAGAGGTGCGGGAGAGACAGCGACGCAAAACGGGGGAATCAGTCTTCTGGCGGGGGCAGGCGGGGCCGCCGTGGATGAGCGGGTTGCCGAACTGGTCGTCGTCGCCGAGCCCTGAGTGCGTACCCGCCACAGCCGGGAGCGAGTTGTTTCAGCAGACGGACTCCAAGCTCTCGTCAGTCTGCCTCTCTCGCACTCTGGGGCGAACCAAGGGTGCGAGAGAGACAGGCCGGAAGAGCAGTGCTCGGAAATCAGTCTGCGGAAAGAGACACGGCGCCAACGGTGACACAGATGGCGCAACTTTTCGACAACTCTAGTTCCGGCCTCTGGGCTACAGCCATGACTCTCCGACGGCCCGCCCCCGCCCCGCCCGGAGCCCCGCCCACCGCGAGCCCGGACAGACTAGCCCCGGCAACCCCGCCCGCAGCCAGGCCACACGGCGAGAGTCGTCTCCCTCGCACCTACCCGGGACGCACCACGAGTGCGAGAGAGACAGACTCTCGGGCAGCCCACCGCGGACCGCCCAGGACGAGATATTCCGCGGGCGGAGGGGTTAACCAAGGCAGGCGTCCGAACGGCGTCCGAACGGAGCGCCACATGTGGTACGCGAGGCGACTTCGGGCCGCCCGGCACCGCCCGGCACCGCCCGGGGCGCGGGGGGTAGTCACCCTCTCGGCCAGCTTGTTGTATGCTAATAGAAGTCACGAGGAACCACCGCTCGCTTTTGTTGGCATTGTTCTTGCTATTTCCGTCGTGTTTCCTCCTTCATTTCCCCGCTCGAATCACTTTCGCGAAGGGAAAAGGGGGGGGGGGGCGTCTGCCTGCGGATGGCTCCCGGCGATCGCCGAACCGAGATACGGCGACGTGTCGCTGCATCGCTGCATTGCATCGCAGTGCATCGCACCTCGCGCCGCGTTTTGAGGGGACCGCGCCACAAAAAAGGGCTAGGCCAAAGGGTCCAAAAGGCCTAAACGGTCAAAAGGGCCGAACAGGCCAAAAACGCCAAAAAGTCAAAAAGGGCCTGAAAGGCCAAAGGCAGCACGACGTCGACGTCACAACGTCACAACGCCGCGGCCGCCGCCCTTCTGGCCGGCAGAAGCGACCGGAACTCATGAAATTTAAAGTGGCGTGACGCTGCTGCTCTCCATGCGGGGCGGGGGGGGGGGGGGGGGTGCGCGGAATCGAGGTCAGGTGCGGAAAGAAAGGGGAGGCCGAGCCGACGACGATGACGACGTGCAGGTGCAGGGACGCCGCCGTCGCGGACTCGTTGCAGTTCGGGGTGCCCGACCACGGGGGTGGTGAGTGGCTGCAGTGGCTCCAAACAAGGCCGCCTCTCTCGCACCCCTTGCGGGCTGCGCCGCGAGTGCGAGAGAGACGGTCGGGCCCAGGGCGCCCGGGCTCCGTGCCGGCCAATTGAATATGCATGGTGGAATGTATCGCTGGACACCCCTGGCCTGGCTGGCCTGGCTGGCCTGCACCCCTGGCCCTGGGGCGCCCCTAGCGGCCCCGGCGGCCCCGGCGGCCAGAGCCTGGACACGCCATAATAACCTCTACCACTACCCTATCATGCATATTACGCGGCGCCCCGTCTTGCCCGGCCGCCTCCTGCGCGCCGTGCCGTGCCGCGCCGTGCCGTGCCGCGCCGTGCCGGGAGCGGCCGAGAGGGTGCCCGACGGCCCCGACGGTCCCCGGCGAGCTTAGTGTAATGGGTAGCACGTCTGCTGCTGAGCCGAGCGACCGACCGGGGGCGCTCCGCCCTGTCACCTGTATCACCTGTATACGGACGGGCGAAAACCCTCTCGACGCACTGGACTTGCCCTGTCTCACTCGCACCCTTATGGAGGGCCCCCGAGTGCGACAAAGACAAGACGACTCTTCTGAATCGCCCGGCTGGCCCACGAACAAATAAGCACTTAAATATACGTCACTTTTTGCCGTGCTCATCTGCGCCACTTTGAATGATGGAGAGCCGTTTCTGTCTCTGTCGCACTCATGCGGCTCTCCGTAAGGGTGCGAGTGAGACGGAGCGACAACCCGTCGGCGGTAGTCGGCGGTGCCGTTCTTCGCGCCGAAATTAAGCCGCAGCATGTGGAGCACGCGTCGACATATTTCGCTGCGACCTTTTCCTTGCCGTTGGCGTGCATGCCGTGCCGGGTCCGGGTCGTCCGGGTTGGGGGGCCCCGGCCGAGGGTCCAGCCGGCCGGCGTCCGACCGCCACACTGGCCAACCCTGCTGCCGGCCAGAAAGAGCAAATATGGAGTGCGAGGACTAAAACGGTCCA